GCTGAAAGGTAAACATTTCATATAAAATAAATCGTTTTAGGTTTACAATTGAGATTATAAAATTACATAATGGTTTCACGACAAAAAAAATAAAAAAAATGGAAGCATAATCATGTAAGATTTTCGTCGGTTCGACAAAACACAAAGTTTTAGAATCCAACGAAATGATGACAATGTTTTTTGTTCTTCCCTATTCTTTGTTCTCCCCATTTGATTGCTAAAGCTGAAGTAGCAATACCAAACCACATAAGTTTAAAAATTAAGAACCTAGGCAAAATAAGCATCAATGGAGGCCCGAGAATGATCGTCAACGATAAAGACTCCACAACTCTCGATCACATACTCTTTGCTTGATTGGTGCAAGCAAAGCAGATTTTTTTTAAATCCTTTTTCTTTTTCTTTATTAATGTCAAACACTCAGACCCTTAATCTCAACTTCAATTGACATATTTACACGTGCACAATTACTTTTATACGGCGTCGCATGATTCACAATCTGAAATGTACCAACGTAATTAATGAAATTAGTTTCATATGCATGGGCCATCAGTAATCATAGAAACAAACGCTTACACATAGTCTCACACGTGCCTTATATCTCTCTCCATGTGTTAGATTCCTCGCCACCATTTTCATCTACGTTCTAAGATAAGTTCCTTTCCTCGTTTGCTATTGAATACAACAACAACAATCATTTATTTATTTAAACGCACTTCAAGAAAATCACTTAAAACATAACAATAATCTTATAAAATCTACCGAAAATGTACACGTTTGTTAAAACCACCAACTTCTTCACTGTTGTTTTCTTTCTAGCCACTGTCGCGGCTGCCTCAAACACAGCTGAATTGGATGTGCTTGAGACGGCTCGAGCTGCAGTGGTTGAAGCCAGGGGTAGGTTTGGGTCAATGAGCATGGTTGAGGCAACAAGTGAAGTTGGTAATGTTTATTATAATTTGGGATTAAGTGATTGTGAGAAGCTCTACGATGAGAGTGAAGCTAGACTATCGACACTAGTCTTGGCTCATGAGAATTTTACCGTAGAAGATGTTAGAACGTGGCTAAGTGCCGTGCTCGCGAACCATCACACTTGTTTAGATGGTTTGGTTCAGCCACGTCAAGGTCACAACAAGCCTTTGGTGGATAGTAATGTCACGTTTGTGCTCGGCGAAGCTTTGGCTTTGTACAAAAAGTTTAGTGGTCATATGAAAAAGAGTAAGAACATAAACAAATTCATGTATACGCATTTAAATCAAATGATAAAAGTGTTTGTTGTTGTTTAATTACCTCTAGAATTCAAATTAGATCAAATGCATGTTATATTATTCACATACAAATAGCAAATAGTAAAATGCATAACTCAATATGTCGAATTGGCGAATGATTGGTTTCCGCTAGACGCATTATTTTCTCACTATATGATATTAGTTTGAGTTTAATTTTGAAATTTCACGATTTGCTATTAAAAAAAATCTCTACAAATATGTGTAGGGATGCATGAACCAGCGAGACCGAGCCATGGACCAGCGAGACCATACCATGGACCGTCAAGACCAAACCATGGACCGACAAGACCAAACCATGGACCAGCAAGACCAAACCATGGACCGACAAGACCATACCATGGACCGACAAGACCAAACCATGGACCGATGAGACCAAAACAAGGACCAGCGAGACCAAACCAGAGCGGAGGAATGCTAGTATCATGGAATCCGACAAAATCAAGGGCGGATTTCGTGGTGGCTAAGGACGGTTCAGCGACTCATCGGTCAATAAACCAAGCATTGGCTGCGGTTTCAAGAATGGGTAAAAGCCGGTCGCATAGAGTGATAATCTACATAAAAGCGGGTGTTTATAACGAGAAAATCGAAATAGATAGAGACATGAAAAACATCATGCTAGTTGGTGATGGTATGGACCGTACAATCATCACCAATAACAGAAACGTCCCTGATGGTTCCACGACTTATGGATCTGCCACGTTCGGTATATCATAATAAATCATATATATAAAACATTTTATTAAACTTCAGATATTGTATAATTTATGTCTTGCATGTTGATATTTATTAATTAGTCGACATCTAGGTGTGTCCGGAGATGGATTTTGGGCACGGGACATGACGTTCGAGAACACGGCAGGACCACATAAACATCAAGCCGTGGCATTGAGAGTGAGCTCGGATTTGTCTATATTTTATCGGTGTAGTTTCAAAGGATATCAAGATACTCTTTTCACACATTCGCTTCGTCAATTCTACCGCGATTGTCATGTTTATGGTATTATATATTTATATGATTTGCTTAAGGTTATATTCATATAGAAACTAGTCATGTGTGACCATATATTGATTAATAATTTGGGGAGATTTTTTGGATAGGTACAATTGATTTCATATTTGGCGACGCGGCTGCTGTTTTCCAAAACTGTGATATATTTGTGCGACGGCCTATGGATCACCAAGGCAATATGATCACAGCTCAAGGAAGAGAAGATCCACATGAAAATACGGGTAAACTACTATCAAAACTGAAATCGTATAGAACCAATCCATACTTTGGTTTACCAACCTGAACCGGGTTTGACCGATACTATATGTATATATATATTCATGGTTAACGTTAACCGGCTCTTGATGCCTTTGTTTAATGATATTTTGAATATAGGCATTACGATCCAACACTCACGGGTCAGGCCAGCACCAGAATTCGAGGCGGTTAAAGGCCGGTTTAAGAGCTACTTGGGGAGGCCATGGAAGAAGTACTCTCGAACGGTGTTTCTCAAGACTGATCTTGATGGTTTGATTGATCCGAGAGGGTGGAGAGAATGGAGAGGCGATTTCGCTCTATCGACTTTGTATTATGGCGAGTTTTTGAATACAGGAGTTGGTGCAGGGATTGGTAGAAGGGTAAACTGGCCGGGATTTCACATTCTTCACGGCGAGAATGAGGTTTCTCCGTTCACCGTCAGTCGGTTTATTCAAGGAGATTCTTGGATCCCTATCACCGGTGTGCCGTTTTTTTCCGGTGTTTGAGTCGGTCAAGATAATATCAACGTAAACTTATGTTTTACAATATTTATGTTTTACTTGCATATTGTTTTTTTTTTGGACATGTTTTACATATTTTTCTTCTTGCTTAGATTAACAAAATCTTCTCATCTTTCTATATAAGAAAAAATGTGAAAACCCCTTAAAATTATGAAAAATGCAATATGTACTTCGATCTAAAAGATAGCAAAATAATATTCTGTTTAATTAAAAAATATATACTCCAAAAATCTTTTCTCTCATCGTTAAGGAAATCACATAGTCTTTCCTTTTCGCGTACAATTGTACATTTTCCTTTACTGTTTTATGTAAAGTCTTCTAGGTTAAGTTTCTAGATCATGTATATAAATATAATAAGGTCTTCTTGGGACTCATGAATAAACTCAGAAAACCTTTTTCATACACTACTTTCAGTTTCTGACGCTCTCTTTCTCTTTCTCAATCTTTTCGGTCAAGAACCATAACAGAATGGACATCAAAGAAAATTCTAAAAAAACAAAGCCATATATCAGATGAATGTGTTTGGACCATCATCAGTGTTTTTCTCTTTAGTTGCATTGTGATTTTATTTTTGTTCCATGGAAGAGATCAAAATCTGAAGAGAGTTTATGTTCCGAATATGCCAATAGATTTTATGAATTTTATAATGTTTAAAATAAATGAAACTCGTTTTAGCACAGGATGGGATTTAACGGTAAGAGTACCCGAAAAACTTCCTGGTTTTATGTATTTGTCTTCATGGAGACTATCAAGCTTCTTTACTTCACAAAGATATCACCAAAGCTACTTCAACCGTAAAACGGTAAAAAACATCATCTTCTTTTTTGGGTTCAATATTATTTGCTTTTTGTTTTTATGTATGAAAAACTAAGAACAACAAATCTTTTACTTTGATCAGTTACGAGCATCTCCAACCTTGTTGGCCGAGAGGGCTGATGACATATACGTGCAATGAAGGCGAGTTGCGATATGGTTCGAGATCTCAAGGGATTACAACAACTGTGTTTGGGAACCCTATAACTATCGGTACTAGTCTCTTTGTCAGATTTTTAATATTTTAATATGAAGATTAGAGCTTCTTAACTTGTGTTTTCGTTTCGAACTTGTTGTCTAATTTATTTTGAATAATATTGCATTCAAATAAACTTTCATTGCTAAATTGCATAACTGTGAAAACAAAACCAAACAAAACATACTATTCAATCAAAATCGACTCGGGGACAATGCAATCAGAAGCCAGAGGAATCGACTAGGGATGAGTAAGACGCATTCTCGTCCGAAGCAGTCCTCTTATCCCCGGCGATATCTCTAGTCACCTTTCTGTTTCTGGTCTTGAACACTACTCCATGGTCTAAACCAGTCAATTCACACAATTCCAACCTCTGAGATTGGGTTGATTCCATGTCAGCTTCCCAACAAGACTCTGATATTATTTCTGTCACTTTCTCAATCTTGTCCTCTGTTACCAAGATTCCGTTTTGAAGGAGCGCAAGATAGACTTGATCCGCTGCCTCCTTACGAATCTGGAGTCATTCGAACGCAAAAAAAAAAAGTGAGGGGAAAAGTGTAAACCAAAATGCTTTCAAGATGTAGATTGAATGTGTATGAACTCGAACCTTTGGGTATCGGTGGGCAAGGAATGCTAAAAGCTGAGAGAAGGCTTGTTTGCTGATGGGTTCTGAGACTGACGCGATATATCCAAGTATTACAAGGCCTGCTTTTAACTTTGTGAAATCTTTTGAAGCTCGTAGTTCCATGGCTAGAGAATCCATGACACCCACGTAGAAACTCAACGTATAAGCCTGAAATATAATGACAGATTAGCTTTATGTAGAATGTGTTTAGAATCGTTCTACAAGCTTTGGCAATATCTATAGAAAGAGGTAAAACTCTAAAACCAACCTCTTGATTCAGAAAAATCTTGCTGCCGAAGAGGTCCCCAATAGTCTGTAAAAAGAAATGTGTTAAGACATAACCACATAAAACCTAGAGGTTAATATATAAGGTGGCGTATTTACCTTTAGACAGGGCACGATAACTCTGTCGCATTTCTTGTACTCTTGAAGTATCCAGAGGATGTCGTCGCACATCGCAGATTCTCTGGATTGTTGTTCTTTAACTTCACCTTCCCTCATATACTCTAGCAATGCAGAGAGCGAAGCCTTTTTAAGCGAATCTTGTAATCCTCCAATCGAAATTACTAATCCGGACATCACTTCTTTGCTGTAACAATGGAATTCTAATAACTGAACAAAAAGTGGGAAAGAGAAAGTCGGTACCTACAAAGGGAGATAATAACTTATCGGTTAGATAATTCCTTTGAAACCAACAAAGCAACCAAGTCTTCAAGATCTGCTTACCGCCCATTGTAATTTTGCGTTGTTGGGAAGAATATCTTCAAGTTTTTCTCTATGAGGTATGAAAGGGACGGTAACAGTTTTGTGATACAAAATCCTTTGAAGAACTTTCGCAGCTATTTCTCTTAATTTATCCATTTTCTCCACTCCTTGCTTCAAAATACCTCCAATTAGGCGGGTTGCGAGATTTGAATCGAAAAGTAATGACGTTTCATTGTTATGATCGGCCGCTGAATTCGTGCCGACTTTCTTACAGAGGATATATGTACATTTCTCAAGGCCATGGATTGCAGCTTCACGAACCCAAGAACCTACATCACCTCTGTTATCAACTGAATAGTCATCAAGAGCTTTCAGTAAAGTATCCATCACCTCTGTCTTGATAAGCAGAAAAAGAGAAAGGTCATCGTTTTCAGGAGCACTAGCACTTTGCTGAGTTAGAGTCTCACACACAGATGTGAGTCCCTTTACAGCATTCACACGTGCCTCTGCATCTCTGTCTTCAGGGTTCACCTGCTTGGAAGAAAAAACATCCATCAAAGTCAATTAATTTATTCTGTTTCCTAAGAATTGCAACTGATGTAATGAAGTCATATGTTGCCTTCTTTACCTCTATCTTACACGCACTGCAGAGCTTCAAAACTACATCCTTCCATTTTGCAGTCAATATTTCATATGGCAGGACACCAAGTGCAAGTGCAGAACCTCTTCGAACAGCTACATTTGGGTCCGTTAGATGTTTAAGGTGTTTTGATATTAAATCAACAGTTTTTTTATCATTGCCAACGAGATAGGATTGCACAAGCTGTTTAACAGCACTGACAGCTGCATTCTGTATAATAAGTGAAACTTGTCAATTAATGAATTATGCTAACACGATGAAAATAAATAAACTTCATGACATTTAGAAAGATAGGTACCTGTATTTGAGAATTGGGATGTCTTAAATTCTCAGTGAGAGTATCTAGCAGGATCCGCTCAGTTCTCTCAGCTAATGTCACATGTGATAACGAGATACATTCGATAAACCGTGAGACAGCCAGTCGCATTATTTCTCCACCTTTCCCACGGTAAAGGCGTGCTTTTTCTATGGCGGGTACTAGTCCAGCCATACGTTTATGGCTATCTGTAAAATGTGAGTGCATCAGGACATTAATTATAAGGGATAATGATGCCAATCATCAAACTGTGTTTATTCCCTCCCCGTATAGAAAATCAACCTCAAGCACAGTCCGAGTACATCTACGATGATAAGGTTTAGATTCCAAGATGGTTGGTTCCTATCTCTGGTTTCTATAAGAAATGATCTTTACTTGAATATGAAAAGATGCTACACAAGCCAAAGTTGAGAAGTATATGGTACCCACCAGCAGAAAGGACATAGCCACACTGGTGCAGAGCTAACACAACCTCTCCAGCTGCTAATGTTGCACCATGGCGCATGCACAAATCGGTGGAAAGGGTACAAGGAACTAGTTTCTCCAGCACATAGTTGGCAAAGTGCTCAGGTTCATACTTAACAAGTGCAGCAAGAGCTTCTGCAGCAAGTTCTCTCAAGCTCTTATCCTGGAACCATAAAATTGAGTAGTAAATGTAATATGGAAGTTACAATTAGGAACAACAACTTGAGCAGTTCCCAATCAAATTATTGGCTCTTATGGGTTGTTGGATTTCGAAATTGGCTTGACGACCAGTTAAGAGAAACCTTTTTGACATTGAGAATAAGCAGGACCTTAAGAGATATTAGATTTGCAGAAACATCAGAGCCGAACTATTAATATCAGACAGAGTCTATGGTAAGCATACCCAGTGGCAGATCTTGTTGTTAAGCAATTCGTCCACAAACGGATAAAGATACCCTTCATATTGAGCAATGGAAACAGCAACCTGAAGGTAAGAGTTCACCCGAGAAGAAAGGGAGAAATAGTCAGCTATATTCACTATGTCAATCCCATGAGGGTAATTTCCTTGTCTTCCAACGTTCTCTTGGAAAGCAGCGGCAGCAGCCCTTCTACAGTTCACCTGATAAATCAAATCAATAAACTTTACGTACTGAAGAGACCAACAAAAACAGAATTCTTCAAATCAAGCAGGAAACGGCAAACAAATTATAGCCAAAACAGGTATTAGTACCTCTCTATCGAAGCAACCCACTATCAACAAATCTGGAGCCAGCTGATCCAGCACGTTTTTCATATCTTTGTGGGAATAGGCACGTCCAAATGCCCAACATACATAGGCAGCTGCATCACGCACATGAGATCCAACACTGTGCGGACCTCTACGGACATCATAATGGAGTGCCTGTATATGATATTTATATGTAAACAGTAAATCCATAAACTTCTGCATAATTGAGGTGAGTGATGCCATTGCTTTGTATGCGTTGATTAGATAAATAATAATCATGTGCATGGGATAGAGAATGACCTTCACAATAACTGGAATGACTTGTGGGAAACTTCTAGGCAACAGTAACCCTCTACGAGCCAATTCAGCCAAGGCCAAACAACCCCCATGCCATGAACCATCTCCCTGAATATCATGAAAATCACAATAACTGTCAGCTCGACAATGCCTGCGTTTAGATTGTAGCAATTGCAAGTCATGCTACCAGCTATCCATTATGGGTACCTCTCCTGGTGAAAACAGCTCCAATACAGATGACAGCACCTCTTCAGAAAGAACAGATGTTAGTCGTGAAGTCACACGGCCTATACCCTTTGCTGCAGACCAACGAACCACAGTGTCCTACACGATTCGGAAAATTCTAAATTAGAAACGGCAATGCTTGTAAATATAGTAACATGCAAAATTGTATGGTAGGCAACTGAAAATTTTATGTGACGAAAAGTTCGCATCAGATACCAACTAAGGCCTAACACAGTTTTATGTGGCTTGGTGCAAAGCAGCGTACTTTTACTCAAACTATCATGTTGTTATCTAGTCGTATAAGTTGAGAAGTAACCACCTCTAGTTATCAGCCTAACAGTAGTATCTCACCCTTTAAACATACCGTGTCCCTCAAACCAGAGAGCAGCATTTCAATTATCTCTTCTAAGATATCAGGAACGTCCATATCTTCATCCTCTTCGTCATCTGAACTTTCTTGATGTGAGACCGCAGTCATAGCATGATCAGGGGCCAATCTTTGGGGTGAACTGGTAGATATATTCTTAGAAAGAGAGGCCGTTTGAGCCTGTAAGGTAATTCAATAAACAAGTTTTAGATGACAAACTGAGAATGACTACCAAATATTATGTCAATTAAGAGCATACACCATAATTTCTAATATACCAAAACCCATGAAGAGGAAGTTGCTATTCGCTCTACTATCATAAAAGCTAAAAGGTATGTACCACATAGCGCCAGGTAGGTGAGCGATGAGGAAGACAAACAAGCCCTATCCTTTGAGTTAACTTGATCAAATACTTGCGAAGCAGAGGACTTTTAGCTGCCGCATTTGATTTGCTTAGCACGGTCACATCATTCAAAACAGTAGGAAGCACATCTAGCAACACTTTCCGGCTAGCGGTCTGCCAATGATAGTAGACATATAAGATCCAGATGCAAAATGCAACAACTTGATAAAATCTAGCAATAACTCGTACAAGATAATGACAGACAAATCATTTCGAATATGTACTTTACTGCTATCTTCATATGTCTGACGTTTTTAGTATGAACCATTATTAAATCAAAAGTGAACAACTCTAGGTTACAAACAGAAACCTTAAAAATGGCAGCAAGAGCCTCCATCACACCAAGCAAGCGAAAGTGGTTCACAACACTATCTTCCATAGAGGATAAAACTCCATGTGTCCACTCGATAAAACTGAAAAGGAAATGCCACAATACAACAAAGAAAAGTTAGTTCATCCATTCAACCTGAGTAATTCGTACAGGTTACAAGAGTAAAAGAGCAGTTTATAAACAACGTTATTGGTGAAGTCAAGCGTCCAAACAGGAACAAAATGAAAANACATATACGAAACTCAAAACGGAAACACTGACGGTGACATGAACAGACCTTGTAAACGCCTTTCCCATATCCGGACGCGTTAAAAGCTTAGAGAGAAGCAATCCCGATATCCTGCGCATCGGTCCAGCATTGCAAAGATAGTCCTTACAGAAACCTAAAATCTTCAATACCAAAGGAGCAAGATCGTCCACACCAAAGCTCTTATCATTTGCAATGCTTGTATCAACAGAAGAAATATCAAACGGGACCAACACAAGTATCGAAAGCCACAAAAGAGTAACACATTTGGCCTCCATTTCTCCAGTGCTTTCTTGCCTCAAGGAAGAAACAGAACTCGTGCTATGGCACTTCTCTAGGAGCGCCACAGCGAGTTCCAGATCGGATACTTGATGCGGAAAGAACTTGATAACAGCTTTGTACCCACAGACTGTAACTAAAGCATATATAATAATGCTTATTGGCTTGATAATTTCAAGAATCTCATCAGGTTTCGCTTCTAATTCAACTGTTTTCGAGCGAATGATAAACATTAATGGAGAAACTATACTCTCTAAGTAAGGTTCCACTAGTTGACCTTGCTCCTGATATCTATCCATCTACAAACAATACAACCAAAAATAAGATCAGAATATGAAAAATTTCTCAGAGACACAGGTCGATCAAGTAGAGTACGAAGCTTACGATGGATCGGATCTTCCGAACAGAAGAAGGATCAACGACACGACCATTCGAAACAATATCATCGAGAAGAGATTTAACGAGCTTCCATTCTTGCAGAAAGTATCTCAGTAAAACTCTCTCCTTCGAATCATGCTCGTCGTCTTCTTCCTCTTCTCCATTCACACCCGCCGATTCGATTTTGATATTCTCCGGCAACTTTTCCTCTTCTTCTCCTCTAGCTGCCATTACTGTCACTGTCAAATTTGAAATCTGGAAGAGAAATGGGATTCACAACGGAGGCGAATTCAATAAATTCCCGCCCTATAAAATTTTCCGTTCGCCGACAAAATTTTCTCAGTGTAGAACTGAAAAACTCAGGCGTTTAAGAGCGATCGGTGAAGACGATGACTTCATTAGGCCGATTTAAGGCCCACTATATAATTTTGGGCTTATATGACCCATTCATTTGGGTCCGTCTGAATTTATTAATTTTTACTGAACCGGACTTTTTAAACCGGATAAAACCAATCAATTACAAGTTACAACCAGTTGGTTGGTAGGTGTGGTCTGTGTGGATAACAATATATATATATTTTCCTTGAATTGTTGCTTTCGGAATTTTTATAAATTCTAAAATCAGCAATTTTTTTTCCCCATATATGTTGAAACTCTTCTTCCTTTTTTACACATTTTTTCGTTGTTAAGAAAAGGAAAAAACAAATTTTTATTATGGCGGAAAATCCGAAGACTATATATTTTGGACAAAAATGTAATAAAAATTTTGCGAAAGGCATAGAGGATCACTAAACTCTTAGCCTCAATCAGCGGTCACGATGATAATCCTTTAATAAGATCCAACGGTCAGATTTGATCCAACTTGTCCCTTAGCGAATACGAAGAGATGGCGAAATTTTGTTTGATTGGCTAAAAATCTTCACACACTGATAAAATAAGTTGCAGAGAGTCTCTCATTTCATTTCTTCTTCACCATTTAGCTTCCTTCTCTCTACAACAAAAGAGAGCGAAAATCAATGGCTTCAACT